TTTTTGAAGAAAGACAAATACATAGAAAAGAAATGAAAGATAGGTAATTTTTTATTTTTGGTGGAGTGAGAGGTATGAGCTTAGGTATGGAAAAATGCAAGGCTTATTTGGTTAGAAAAGTGTAAGTAGGAGAATGGGATGAAATTTTATCGTAGCTTTCAATTAAGAGTCACATCAGAGTTACTTAGGAAACTTAAAAAAAAACATGCCTTCACTATTCTCATAACTCTTTGGGCTGTTTGAAACAGCTTTCTCTGGTCACCTGCTCACCCCCAACTTTGCCCACTTTAGGTAAGGGACGGGATGGATACAAACAGTTACCATGTTTTGCTTGAATGAACCCCCTCCTTAGTCAGTGGACTTTGGTTGCCAAGTTGAGGAATTTAGACATTATTCCATTAGCAACTGTACTATGTTGTAGCTTTTGAACCATGCATTTGAAAGGAGAAGGGCTGTGTTTTAGGTAGATCAATATTTTGGTGCTGTGCAAGAGGGATAACAACCATGTTGTAGATTTTCTGTTCTATGAGGCAGGAATACAATATATTGCTTTTTAAACAGGAATAATAATTTAATTTCTTGTGTAGGTGAAACTGTAGTAATATAAAGCCTTTTCTAATGAAGGCTATTATTGGATATGAAAATTTAGATACTTCTCCTTCTTAATCGTTCAAAAGTTGACTGTGAGACTGTGCAAGTAGGTTACTGCTGTTATTAGAACTGTTATAAAAGACAGCTATTTTAAGCAAATAGAACAATCACCTGTAATGCTTATGCCCTCAACTGTTGAAAGGCCCAAAGGAAAGGAATTCAAATTCATTTTCATTATCACTTAAGCATTTCCTGAGAAGACAGTATCAGTTTAAAGCCTAAGGAAAATGAAAATAAGTAACACTTAGCTCAGTCCATATAGTTGGTTTTTATGAACTAATGAATTTGGAATAAATGTAGTATTATATGGCACTATCCCTGATTTGTTCACTAAGCTTAGGCAAGGAACAGATTCTTGGTGCCTCAATTTTCCCTTCTGTAGGACTAGGATAATATGCCTGTTTTACACATCTTACATGATGGTTCTGAGAATCTTTTCAAATGGTTATTTTCAAATCATATAGCCACACCATTGGATAAAGGTGAGTTCCATTTATGTATTATCTTCTTTTTACCCTTATAAAGTCTTTAAGTTTTCATTTGCTATTGGTGCATATGCAGTACAGTAATGAAAATGGTTTCTTCACATTTGGAACAAATTTCAGTACTTCAAATGAAACAAGGTTTGTAGTATAAATATGTTTCAAATGATTAAATACTAGTTAGGTTAGTTACTTGCACTTGACAAATAGTTGCAAAGTAATTACTCTTCTAACATTATAGGAATAAGTTAGAAACATCTATAAACTACCTGGCTTTGATGTTAAGGCATAAAAAAAAAAAGATGATATTTTTAGTGTTCAGGGAGAGAGTGTCTATTCATTTATTCAACAAATGTTTTAGCCCCTATTATGAACCAGACATTATTTTAGACAATGGGATACAGCAGGGTATAAATCAGACAATAATTGTAGCCCTTACTGTGCTTTCAGAATAATTGTGTTTTCCTTATTCTCTTCAATTGCATTTTAATACTTTAAAAATAAATGTTTGGAAACTTGTGATGGAACAATATGTGGCAAAATGCATGTTTTCTAGTCTATCTGCATGAGTCCACGGAGCCACTGATGATTTCTATCTGCTCATGAAAGCTCATGCTTTTGGTCCTATGTCTGCATATATAGTTATAGACTAATCAATCAGACCAATAAAACAGTTGAATGTATATTAAATTTGGCTTACTTTAGTTCTTTTAAAATATTTTGTTTACTTTGTTAATCATGTTTTATAATAATATTTTGAGTTTCTAATATTTTGAGTTTCTAAAAGAAAGAGATTTTATTTTATAATTTTTATTGCCTTTGCTTCAGAACACAAAGTTCTATGAAGGTATAGCAATTTCCCTCTTGATTTAAGCAATGTACAAACAAAATTGGATAAAGACACTGAAAAATCTCACTGGGGCTTGAGTTATCTTGTGAACCCATGAATTAAATATAAGAATAGAAGAAATGTCACACTGGATTAAATTAATTGTCCATGGAACATTTTATGGAAAAGCATGGTATTCGCTCTCCACAACATTGATCTACTTGAACATAATTACATTTCCTTAGTAATACATTATATATCAATTTTCCACAAATCAATTTTCTACAAAGACCTTCTTTGATCCCATTTCTATTTTCAGTCAGTACTACCTCTTCTGATATGAGTCTATTACCTCTTGTGTTTGCTTCACTTCCATATTCCAATGACTGTGTAAACTACTTTTCAAAACACCCACTAGAGTACACTATAATTTGGAATATGTGATTAACTTACTCATCTCTTTCTTTTAAAAAAATCTTATTCTTGCTCACATTGAAAAGTATAAATTTTTAACTGATTTTATGTGGAAAATTTTACATCCTTTTGCTTATTTAAAATCTAGACCGGTTGCTCTATGATGTCCTTTATGATTGGAGAGCAATGAAAATTGTGCATACATTCCTAAGGAGAATGATCACAATTTTGTTTATGGATAATATTGTTTTATTACCATATAAGAACAATGAGCATTTTGTTGCCTTTCTTGTTACAGCAGCACATTAAATCATTGTCTGGAGATAGTATGTTGGGTGTTCTTTTTGCTCAGTCTCCACTGCATTTGTATGAAATAGATTTTCCAACCCAAAATACTCATAACACTCTCTACCCTGCTACAAATCACATACTGAATGTAATATTCTACACTACTAGCACTGAATAATATTCATATGGACAGCATTTCTGGATTCATGTACCTTTAACATTCTTTGAACCTTTATAGATTAGTATATATGCCTATATGGGTGTATTCACCTGTATTTGTTAATTTGTATATAATTCATCCTCTTAGTAATTTTTTTCACTCCTACTGATAAAACTTTACCTTAGATGTTTGTAAACATCTTTGTTTAAAAGACTTTTTACTTTGGTAAAGTCTTAATTTCCAGAAAGAGAATGCATATTTGGCTAATTTTGTCTTATTCTTTCTCAGTACCTTCTTCTTGTCTTATTTTTGTCCTTGTGCCTTCTAATGTTGGTCTAAAATAATTGTCAGTAAATCTGATTGACAATATCAAATCAAGACATTTGAAACTAAAAATTTTCTTAACACCTGTACTATTTAATTTATGCATATATAAACCTTCTATGTTAAAATCCCCAAGTGTTTCCTCTTTAAGATGATTTGTTTCAGCCAGCCTGAATGTGTAGTTTTTACTTGGACTGTATTGAGAGCAAATAAATCTGAATATTAAGTATTCCCTCAGTAGCAGATTCTTTTCCAAACTATGTCAATGCAATATATTGAAAATATTCAGCTTTGAGGAGTACATGTTGAAGCTAAACCTGGACTTCAGAGACATTTCTTTCTGTAATGCTGCAAATCATATTTAATGGTTTATATATGCACAGAAATCTTTGTACATTCACTGTATCTATGAAATATTCCAGGAAAATCATGTTTAGGGCTTATCTTACTAGAATAGCATTATCTAAAATGGAACTTAAATGGCTATTAGAGGAAGTGAGATACTATGATGCACTGTGAACTTTGGCTTGCTCTTCTTAGAGCAGATGTCTTCCTAAGGGTACAGGTGGAGAATCATTCTACCCTATGTGTGAAGTAGAAACTGACTTCTTCCTATTTTCCTTTAGTAAACATACTATTACTTCCAGAACTGAGAACTTTTAGGTCTAAAGGCTGTTACTTGGTTCAGTGCATTATTTGTGGAAAAAGAAAAAAAAAATCCTATCCTCTTTATGTTGTCTAATTAAAGTCCAGAAGAATCTGACACTTGGGGAAAAAAGCAGAACCAGAAGGGAAAGAGAACCTGTTCTTGACAGGAGGTATTGTTTCCTTTCTTAAGTTTCATGGAACACACTAAAAGAGTATTTAAAATCGCCACATGTAGTTTGTCCCTTCCAGCTGGACATGGCACCAGTCCAGAGAATAATGATGACATGAGCAAGGTGATTTTAAAGGGACCCACATAAGCTGATCTCTTTTCTCTGCAGATGACACAAATAGAAAGCTTTGAGCAAGAGTGGAAAGACACACTATCACTTGCCTTTCCCCTCTGAAGAAGCTGGGACGCATTCTGCTCAGCCAACATGTTCCCAGAGGAATGTGATTTAACTTCCACTTTTCACACAGTAAGAAACAACACTGGAGACCTGTCGGGAGGGTGATAGCAGCCTGGGAGGAATTTGGATAAGTGTTTTTCACTCCAGTGTTTTCATGTGACTTGACTCTCATCTCGATTTAGTTACATCTTGACCTGGAAAATGCTGCCAATGTTTGCCTTTCTTCATTTGGCTTACCTTGATTCATTATATGCATATCCCTCCTTTCCCTACTCCCACCCTATGCAGCCTTTCCCCCGAAACCTACTAATAGACTTTCTCTAGATGTTTACACATGTATTAATTCTGTTTCCCTCAGTAGGGGCTTTACTTCCAGGGAGGGAAAATGTATTTGGGTCCTTGAAATATATACAAAGAATATTCACCTAAAGCAGCCTAAGATGTTCCCTACTCCTTTTGCCAGATCTGACTATTCATATATCTGGCAGCTTCTTTAAGAACCCTCTGGTAGCAGAGAAATTAATACTTCTCACTTCTCCCTAGTTTTTTTTCCCTCCCCCCTCCATCAAAAGACTGATTTTTATGCATGAGATAATAGCAAGCCTTGGGTGACCTGTTTTTTTCCCCCTCCCCCTTCCCTCTTTTTTCCTTGCGGTAAAATAGTGCTGAAGAAAGAGGGCACTAGTGTACAGCCCAGATCGCATCCTTGCACCGTCTGGATTAGAGCTGAGGCGTCTGCGAACCGAGCGTGGCCCGAGCGGTGTTCTGGCCCGAGGACCATTGCGCTGTCTACCCGGACTCAGGTACGTCTCAAGTCCAATTCTCCAAGCAGGCCCAGGTGAGCAGACACCTCCCCGGCGGTGAAACCCACCCATAGTGGCAGACAGTCCCAATCTATGGGATTTCCTCCTGGTCCCAGGGGCATCTCCGCTTATTTCTTTTAGTCCAGCATCCCTGGGAAGCGTCGGGACCCATGAATGCCTGGGTTGTCTTCCTCCTTTTGCCTGGCTCACCTCCTGTGCTCTTGCTCCCCGCCCGCTCCCTTAGCTCCTTTCTTGTCCGACTCTCACCTTGAGAAAGGGAGCTGGGGAGGAACGAGAGGGAGCCAACTTCAGCCCCACAGGCGGCTGAGATTTGGCGCCTCTGCCCCCGAAGCGGGCGGTTTTGAATATACCTGCAGGAGCACTGCCTCCAAGGAGAAGAGAATGAGAATGGAGGGGTGGTGGGAGACAAGGGGAGGTGTGTGTGTGTGTGTGTGTGTGTGTGTGTGTGTGTGTAAGGAACGCAGGGAGGAGGGTTAAAAGAGCTAAGTCGGGGGTTGGGAGGGGGTCAAAGAATTGCAAAAGGCGTCCCCTCCAGGCGCTGCGGGGGAAGGTTTCTGCAGCGGGACTGAGCACTGTCCAGGGTTCTGAAGAAGGCAGCGCTTGAGCTACCGCGGCAAGAGCTACCCAGAAGCCCCCCTCCATTCCCTTTCTAGAAATGTGCAAAGCCAAAGGTCCCGATTTAGGCGAGTGCAGGGGCCCCCTACACCCCCTCCCTCCACCTTCCATCGCGGGAAACAAATTACCTTATCTGCACCCTTTCTCGCTGAACATCTATCTACAGTAAGCCTGACTTCTTGGGTGTGTGTGGGGTTTGGGGGGGGCGGGGGTGTGGGAGACATACCAAACTCCGACATACCGAGACTTTACCAGGCGTTGCCTTAGTAACTAATATGGATTTCCTCAACCTGGCAAATTATATTTATTACTTGGGTTGTATGTTGAGGTCTCTTCAACCCCTCGAAGTTAAAGTAAAAGATGAATTCCTTTTTTGCGTTCATCTTGAAGTAACGTTTACACCTTCATAATGAGTTTCCAAATTTCTTCTGGGAAAAGTTGATCTTTTCAAATCCGAAAAGTTCTTTTGAATTAAAAGCCTTAGCTCCTCCTCTCCTTTATTCCCTTTCCCCATCAAGTCTGTAAGTGTAATGGGTATTTGGGGACCTGGAAAAGGCTTGAAGCTGAAGGAAGGGGCAGGTCGGCAGGGCTTTGCGCCTTCAGGGACGGATGAGGGCACTGCGGGCAGGACGCACCACCTTCCGCCTTGACCATAGCTGCCTCCCAAGCTGTCCCTCCCGCCGATATCATGATGTGCTGGAATGAAATAGACCGGGCAACTATTAACATTTAACATCACGGACCCGGAGTTTTGAAACAGGTCCTGTGATAACGCAGCTTTGATTTTCTTCCTTTTTTGTTGGCAGCGTCCAGCTCACGGCTGCCACCACGGCGTCCATTGTACTCTTGACCAGTTTACTTTGATGCACCAGTGAAGAAGGGGGCTCGAATTCCCCTAGAAACGCCTCCAGGACAAGGAGGTGGTCCTGGAGGACCAGGAGGAGGAGGAGGAGGGGAAGGAGGCAGGGGTGCAGGCGGCGAAAGTGTTGGACCAGCGGTGTTGGCAAGCAGGACCGAGCTGGGAGAGGCAGGCGTCGGGCATCTGTCTAACGTTGCGAGCCCGCAGAGCCGGCTGGCAGGACCAGCGTGGGAACGCGGCTGGCCGGCTGTGGACGGCGTCCTCAGCACAATGGTTCGGCTCCTCTTGGTTTTTTTCCCAGCGATGTTTTTGGATATGTCCCTTCTTCCCAGGGGACCCGGTAGGAAAGTGTTGCTGGCGGGAGCCTCGTCTCAGCGCTCGGTGGCCAGAATGGACGGAGATGTCATCATTGGGGCCCTCTTCTCAGTCCACCACCAGCCCCCGGCAGAGAAGGTGCCGGAGAGGAAGTGTGGAGAGATCAGGGAGCAGTATGGCATCCAGAGAGTGGAGGCCATGTTCCATACATTGGATAAGATTAACGCGGACCCGGTCCTCCTGCCCAATATCACTCTGGGCAGTGAGATCCGGGACTCCTGCTGGCACTCCTCTGTGGCTCTGGAGCAGAGCATCGAGTTCATCAGGGACTCTCTGATTTCCATTCGAGATGAAAAGGATGGGCTCAACCGGTGCCTGCCTGACGGCCAGTCCCTCCCCTTAGGCAGGACTAAAAAGCCTATCGCTGGTGTGATCGGCCCAGGCTCCAGCTCCGTAGCCATTCAAGTGCAGAACCTGCTCCAGCTCTTCGACATCCCCCAGATTGCCTATTCTGCCACAAGCATCGACCTGAGTGACAAAACTTTGTACAAATACTTCCTGAGGGTTGTCCCTTCTGACACTTTGCAAGCAAGGGCAATGCTTGACATAGTCAAACGTTACAATTGGACCTATGTCTCTGCAGTCCACACAGAAGGTAGGCATTGCATTTGGGAAGGAAAGGTACAGAGAAAGCGAGTACATTGCATGATATGCGATCATGATCGTAGTATTGTCCCTATTTATTAACATCACTGTGGGGAACAGATTTTACCCTTGTCAGTACATGCCCACTTGAGGATATTGCTGCATTCATATTTCTTAATATCATTGCCTTTTATCCTCATTCTGTAATTATAGTGTAGGAAAACTGTGTCCCATGGTGTTTTGGGGATAGTAGGAGTCTATCAGATACAAACTCTCTATGAACAGCGTCCAACTGTAGTTTTTGGACTTAGATGTTTGCTCTCACATTCTGAGTTTGTGTTTGAAAGGCTTGTTTGCCCAAAGTGGTATACTACTCTTAATTAAGTGACTGGCTATGATTTTCCAAGCTTAATAGACTAATCCAATATGAGCAATTAGGAAAACAAAAAAAACAAAAACAGAAAAACTTATTGTCCCCTAAATTGGGCTTGAAAGCTTGATCTTGTCTTGAACAGCTGAAGGTTCTTCTTTGTCTTAATGTGCCCCTTCTTTCACATCCAAAGCTTACCTGTGAATGTTGGATTAATGCAGTCATCTCCCTCAGTATATCAGAAACTTATTTCAAATTCTGGAGTATCTTAGATACAATGGAAAAGTAAATAATTTAAATCATTTACTTATTTTCTATTACCTATGTTAAAATTGTCCAGATGCCCTCACTCCTCCCAAGAATTTTCTTGTTTTTGAGAAATAACACTGGTGACTTCTTGGATTTGAGTTTTGGTTTCTAATCTTTTTCTTCTTACACAATGACTTTGCTCATTAGAATTTAGTTAGATCAATTACTAATAAAAGGATAGTAGATATTAGTTTAAAAATGGCTTTTAAAAATGAAATAGATTTACTTGAGGTTCAAAACTTTGATTTTTATAGAATCTTACTTACATGAATTCTCAAAGTATTTCTTATAAAGATTTCCCTTACTCTCCTCCTCTTAGCCTGTATAGATTTGGGGATAAAATGAGACTTTTGAATCTATTCTTAACTCACTTATTATGTTTATAAAGAAACTGATTAAACATTAATGCCTAGGACAATTCATATATATATATATATATATATATATATATGCTGGCATATGGAAGAGAATCTTGAGGGTATTGCTGCATTCATATTTCTTAATATCAAATTATTAAAAGAAAAGCCAGGAAAGAAAGGAATGATTTCATATTCTTTTAACAGTTACACAATATTCAGTTACTGGTGTGAAGTCTGATTTTAGAAATTAAGAAGCATTCTTACTGAAGTGGTTATATGGTGATTGTTAATGAAAGCCAGTGCTTTAATTTATAAAGGGAGCAGTTTTCAGGACAAACAAAAATAATGTAGCATTATACATTATAATTTCACAGTTTGCTTTTGGGGAAAAAACAACTTCCTGCTGCAATATTGTGACTTCTAACAACTGACTCAAATTTCCAAATCTTCATTTTTAATAGTGAATGGCATACCTCTTTTTGAACAAAATCTCATATAACTTTTTTAAGACACAATTTTAAGTTCAAATGTTAATCTCTTACATATTAATGTCTAATGTTACTTTCCTATGTTTTAGTGTTTAACATAGTTTCCTCTAGTGCTTAGGTGGAACAACTTGAAAGCACAAATTAAAGATGTGTTAGTTATCAGCATTAGATCTCCCTAAAAGGGAATGGCAAAATCTAGATGGGATGTGACTTACTTAAATATTAAATAATTCTCCCTCCATTGAGCTAGGTCATTGTTTATAGACATAAGAAGTATAAATTCCTCTTTGAAGAAGTAATACTTCATCACTTTTATATACTAGTTTTATTTTCCGTATTTTAATATAATACCATTTTATTTTGGGGTAGAGAAGAGTAGAGAAAAGACAATTTTCAATTTGTTTTCCAGTTGCATCACTTTGCTAAAAATAATTACTAATAGTGGGTTGCTTTCTGACAAGTAGAATTATGTTTTTGGAAAATTAATTGGACTTGGGTTTGCCAATTTTGTTCAGGAAGGGCTCATATTAAAATTTCACCCTTATATTAGTTTGGATTACTTTGTTTCCTTTCTACCTTCTGACTGACATGTGTGGCAGAGATAATGTCTCCATATTATAGTAGTTGATTCCAGGCTATGTGTTCATAGAACAGCATCAGAGCTAACTTTGGTGTCTATTACCAAGAGTTTATGCCATTCACCTTGCCTTTTTTATATGATCTTATATCTTCTAAAGGAGAATTTGTTTCTTTTCTTATTAGACATAATATCTGTGGAAACTAAATTGATTTTATTTTCTTCTATCTGCAAAGAAAGATAACAGTCTCTTTTGTATAAGCTCCAGATGGAAATTCATTTTTCCTGAGGTTCTGCCCTCCTGCTTCTCAGGGACCCATGGTGTACTGGCCTGCAAGCATTTTCTTGCATCATTTAGTAATTTTCCTGCCTTCAGACTGATGGGGTCACCTACTGGTGACAGTTCCTTGTCAAAAAGCTGCTAAGACCACATATCAGTGTTGTCTCTGCCATCTGGGCACTATTCAGGAAGGAGGCCAGTTTGGGTATTAGCAATTTGCAGCTTAGAAATTCTGGAACCTCCCGTGACCTTCACCTCTCCTTTCCAAATTAGCCATTCTCTAGTCAATTTATCATCATATATTATATATTTTTAAGTTAGAAGTTAGGCTAGTACAGTTAACATCAAAAGTACTAAGTGACTAGGCCAGCATGTCTTCATTTTCATGGTTAATTTTGATGGACTTTACAATCACAGTTGGGGCATCCTATTATTTGAATGCCCCAATGTTTTTATATCCCTTTATTATTTTATTTTATACTGAAGTTAAGCTTGGAGATATTTTCTGTTTGTTTTTTTAAATGAGCTAGAATTCAGTTGTTATATTCTTTTACTTGCTTTTCAATCTTTTACCACATCACCTGTGCCACACTTATCCTTTGGGTCATGACAACATCAGTTTACCTGACATAAAACAGAATTGGTGTACATGTAGTTACCTACAGTAGACTCTCCAGAAAATTTCCAGGATTGGTTCTTGAGAATATTGAGGTAGGATTTGTTGAAGGGTGGGCACTGAAACAATAGAGGCTTATTCACAAATAAAAATTGAGTGCATTTTGGAGCAAGCTACTCACCTGGAGTATGTCTTTAAATATGCTAAGCATAAAATACAAAAATAGCCTACTTCTGTGAAGAATATCTTGGCCAAGGACACTGTATTTCATCCTCATGATGAAATGCAGATTCTCCATCAAGAATTTGAAATTTATCATTTCAAAAAGTTATAGAAAGCAGTACTTTAAAATAATTCTAGTTGATTACATTAAAAGCATTGAACAAGTCCAATAAAGAATATTCCTTGAGTTTGAACCTTCAAAATTTTTTTTTTTGATTGGATACATTTTCACTTGTTTTAAGCCATTCTCTGTCAGTATTTTGTCTTATAGTGTCAGATGAATATTGTTAAAATAAAGGGTTTAATTATGCTCCTATACAGTGCCCTTCACTATACAGTGCTTTTTTGTTTGCAGTTACGTTTTCATTGTGGTGCACCTTTTTTCGATGCTTGCTTACATTTTACATGAAATTGGCCTTTTTGGGGGATTCTTTTCAAAATATCATCTTTTTTTTCTTAGAAGCCTCTTTCTATTTGATATAAAACTTACTTTAAAAGTCTAATTGCATCAGAGGAAAATACTCCAAAGTCAGTTAACTATTACTTTAGCTAATGAAGGTAGAAATAAGAATTTTATTTCTACTAAATATCATATTTTCTACCTATACACCAGCAACTTTCTTTATTTCTTTCTTATCTTGATTCCAACGTATTTCACAATAAGTTACCTTCATAAATTGCTCTTTTTTATCACAAAATAAGGAATGGGAGTGTCTTCAAAGGTATTTAGGCCAACCAGTTAAAGATGTTTAAAACACCGCTAACTTTGCCAAAAAGTAGTTCCCATATGCTCTGAGTTTCCTATTTATGATTAGGATTTCTAATGAGAATGGGCGAATATAGGATTTAAAGTCAGAAGCAGAATTTCACCTATTAGCTTTCTATATAATGACCTGACTCCCTGAAATTTCCACTAATTCTCCATCAACCACTGGGAGTCATCCAAAACAATTTAAATTCCTCTTCCATGTGATATTTGTCATCAATAAATCCTCTCTCATTTATGCTATACCTCACTAGTTCTCTCACCCATTTATTCTAGTTTTTAATTCTGTCATCATCACAGATAACTCAAGTAGACCTTAGATAAGTTTTTATCCAGTAGTCTTTTAAAACATGTGTACTGCTGCTGGGCCATATCTCCTTCTTTTTATGCTTGGGCAATTATTGGTATTGATATTGTTATTGTTATTTTTTCTGAGAGTAGGACTTTTTTGTTTCTTTTTAAAAAATGTAAAATTATTAGTTTAAATCTGCCTTATCAGTAAGTTCTGGGATTTGATTATTATTTTTTTTTTAAAGATTTTATTTATTTATTTGAGAGAGAGAGAATGAGAGAGAGAGCATGAGAGAGGGGAGGGTCAGAGGGAGAAGCAGACTCCCTGCCGAGCAGAGAGCCCGATGCGGGACTCGATCCCGGGACTCCAGAATCATGACCTGAGCTGAAGGCAGTCGATTAACCAACTGAGCCACCCAGGCGCCCCGAGATTTGATTATTTAATTCATCTTAGTATCACTTTAGGACCAGGTTTTTGTCCTCAGGATTTAATTATATATACTGAAACTAAGTAGGAGAGGGTCCTGTCGTCCATCACCAGCAAACTATGTCCTGGCTAACTCTGGTGGTCACTCAGCCTTTATGAATTTCCTTGACAGTATGCTTTTCCACTTCATACTGTATCACTTTATAGATAAATAAATCAATATAAGTAATTTAAATGAAAAGCCTTCAGATATTTAACTCTAATTGAAGATTTACTATACCAAAAAGTGTATATAAAAAATTTGA